AAGTCAAAGTCAAAAAATGCTTTATTGTCTAAGAACAAAATTCTCGTTGACAAAGCTGTAAAAGGGGGAAAAAAAAAACATTATACAAAAATAATTCCAGGGCCATAGAGTACCAAGATTGAAATAATCAAAATAAAAATACAATACAAGGTCAGACTAAAACAATAAAATCATTTAAACAGTCATTAAAACAAAAGATGAAGTCACTTTAAAAATCAACATAAATATAAACATAAATCAACATAAATACAAAAACATGTTCATTCTAAAATATAAAATACAAAATATCAAAATTGCACAAACGTAAAGTCAACAGACATAGAAGTCATTAAATAAAACTACAAATTATATTCAGACAGTCACAAGAAAGCATCTTGGAAAAATTCTTCTGTGCTATAGTAGGCCTTTGATAATAGAAGCCTCTTAAGATGTACTCTAAATTTTTTACCAGATACTATCTGTCTCAGATGCAGTGGCAAATGGTTAAAGATCTTTTTACTTTGATAGATTATCGAGTTTTTTGTTTGTGTGGAGGAAGGGATAGGAAGGTTCACATTGTGTGTTTGTCGAGTGGTATGTACAGATGAAAATTCGTGTATGTTTTCCTTAAACTTTTTATGAACGAGACATGAAGTCTCTAGTAAAAAAATACTAGGAAATGTAAGCAATTTATGACGCAAAAACAATGGTCTACATGAGTCTCGTAATCCTATCTTAAACATATACCTTACCGCCCTCTTTTGCAACACAAACAACATATTAAAGAGAGACAATGAACAAAAACCCCAGAAACATATTCCATACCGCAAATGGGATTCAACGAGAGCAAAGTATGCACTTTTTGTTGTCCCAAGATCTAGCTTACTCGATATTACTCTGATTGCATAACATCCTGATGACACCTTTTTGCTCATGTATGTTAAGTGAGGCTCAAATTTTAGTCTATCGTCTATGTATACTCCTAAAAACTTACTCGATTTTTGACTGGCAACAGTATCTGCCCCTAAGGTAATTCCCTCAAAACCACATTTAAATGTTAACACATTTGTCTTCGACACATTAAAAGTTAAACAATTCGCATCAGTCCATTCTTTTACCTTAACTAAATCATTATTGATATCCGATTTAAGCTGTTCTACATCCTTATTTACCCAGAGAATCGTGGCATCATCGGCAAACAGTGTAAATACCCCAACTATATCAATGCTAGACAGATCGTTGATGTACAATAAAAATAATAGAGGTCCCAAAACAGATCCTTGTGGAACTCCTGCACTTATAGCCAGTTGTTCTGAATCAACACCATCAAAAGTAACTCTCTGTGCCCGTTCAGAAAAGTAGGACTCAAACCACTTTAGAGCTACCCCCCCTCACCCCATAGGCTTCCAGCTTACATAACATTATTTTATGATTGACACAGTCAAAGGCCTTTGACAAATCACAAAAAACCGCTGCTGCGACATCACCGTTATTTAATCCCAAATATAGTTTCTCCAAAAATGCGAAAATTGCATCATTTGTGCCACATGACTCCCGAAATCCAAACTGTTCACAACAGAGAATACTATGTTTTTTAAGAAAACACATTAAACGGGCCTTGACTAGCTTTTCTATTACTTTAGACATTGTAGGCAACAATGAGATTGGCCTAAAATTTGAGGGTGTATCGCAGTCACCACCCTTGTGAAGAGGTAAGACCCTTGCAAGTTTCAGACAGGAAGGGAAAATCCCTGATTGAAAGGACTGATTCACAGAATCAGCAAACACCTCTAGAACCGATTCGGGCAAATGCGAAAAGACCTTCAGCGTAATCTCATCCCATCCCGCAGAATTTTTATTTTTAATATCTTTTAAGGTGTCTCTGATTTCTTGTGTTGTAGTAGGTTTAAAGAAAAAAGACTCGGATACGCTTATGTGACTTAGATATTCTCTAGGGTTAGTCCCAGAACTAATTTTGCTAGAAAGAGAAGCCGCAATCGAACAATAAAATTTATTAATTTCCGTGGCAGTCAAATTTGAGTCCATTGGTGAAGTATTCTTTTTTCCTCTTAAGTTATTAACAATTCTCCATGATTCCTTTTGTTTGTTGCCAGCTATCTCTATCCTATTTCTAAAATATAATTGCTTAGCGGTTTTAACTACTTGCCTATATATTTTACGATATTTGTTGAAAAAAAGCATAAAACCATCATTCCCCAAATAAAACTTCCTAATGTAATGCAAAGAACGCATATTTCTAGCCGATACTCTTATACCTTTTGTAATCCACAGTTTTTTACTCTTACACTTCCTGGTTCTAAGCGGAAAAGATCTATAAAAAACACTCAACAAAGCAGAATGCAACTCCGACAAAGAATTCTCACATCTACCAATCTCGGTCCAGTCTGTATGCTCGCAGAGTCTCAAAAATGTCTCAAAGTTACCTGTAGAGTAAAGTCGTTTGTACTCTTTTGGCAGTTTAACTGTGCCATAGTCACATTCCACCTCCAGTCCACACACAACCGCCTCATGATCGGAAAGACCCGCACCAACTGTTGAACAACTCACTCTCCCTTCATCAGAATTTGTACAAACATAATCCAACAATGTCGCTGAATTCGCAGTAATTCTAGTGGGGTCCTTTACATGTACTTTTAAATTAATAGAGGAGAGTAAGCCATTCAAAGTCTGCACCGAAGCCGATCCTGTATCTAAAAAGTTAATATTTAAATCTCCTGTCAATATTATTAGGGCATTCAAAGGTAGGCTTGTTAAAAGTTTTTCCAATCTGGCAAAAAACGCATCAACATTGCTTGAAGGAGGTCTATAGATACACAAAACATAAAACAAAGGTCGCAAACAACACACAATTGAAAATTCGAATTCCTTTTCAATTATTAAACTATTATATCTATCTACATTGATTATTTTAAATACTTCAAACAATCTCTGCTGTACCATTATGAGTGTTCCACCATGCACTGCATCTGACCTACAATATTTAGATATTAAACTATACTGTTGCAAAAATATCTGCTCATCATCCCTTAACCAGTGCTCAGTGAGAAGAACAATGCCTGGGTAGTTTAAATCAGCTAAAAACAATTCCAATTCTGAAACTTTGTTTCTCAAAGATTGTATATTTAACAACACTAGGTCAAGTTTATTGTGGCGTATATTCATGCTCCGAAAATCCCATCTATAGATCCAGGAGTCATAAACGTGGGATCTGCTAAAACTTCATCCTTCTATGTCTTGGAGCTTTTTTTGTGTAGAGGCTGCCTTGGCATAGACAAGGTTAACTTTGGAAGAACTATCATGCTGACCTTCATGTAGAACGTACTTTTGAATCTTGGTGTAATATAAGTATCGATTGAACATGTTGAGACCTTGGGCTCTCTATCTTCCACGCCAGATATCTCAGCTCTAATATGACGTCGTGGGAGCCCCAAGCGTTGTGCTACTTCTTCGGTGATAAAGGATGATTGTGTTCCTTGGTCAATCAAGATTCTCAAAGGCTGTGGCGAACTTTGAGTTTGGACTTGTACGAGAGCTGTTGCTAGTAAAACATTTTCTTCCCATTGGCTTGAATGATTTGTCGTAGTGTTTCGTTGCTGTTGGAATTGCCCACCTGTTCTTCTTTGTTTGCTATTCTGTGGGGTTCTATTTTGACAATTGCCATTCCAAGCGAGTTTTCTTCGTTGGTAATCGTTTGTTTTTTGCTGATTTTGTTGATTTCTGTCAACATGCAAAAGTTTGTGATGTTAACGGCTGCAAATATTACATTTTGAATGGCTGAAGTATTTCTTCTGAACATTGTGGCTTAAACAGTTTTGGTAGATGTACTTCTCCTGCATTCAATTGCCTCTCTCTTGTGGTGACATGGCTTTAAACTTTTAGCAGTGGTAGGTCATATGATTTTGATCGTGACAGTATAAGTACAAAATATGGACTAATTCTCGTAACTTCCATGGAAAGTTGAAAGCGGAATCTTGGTAATTGCTAGATGTTGATGCTGTTGACTTACCATTACTTGAGGGACTGGATTAAGTGCGTCTTCTTGTATTTTTATTGTCAGTTTTTCAGTTATATTTTCATACTGCTGCTGCATTTCGTTGTATGGATTTTTTGTGACGTACCTATTCATTCTGAAATATATCTTCAGATATCATTATTTCTTCATGTAGGTCTTGGATGGCGCTCCATTGTTTTTCAATTTTTTCCAACAGTAGCTGATAGCAAGACTTCGATTTTTCTTCAGTTAGCTCGAATTCGATTTGGTTTTAATCTCCCTCTAGCTGTTGAAGTTTGAAGTGCTGCTTTTTCAAACGTTGATCTTGCATAGTGATTGTTGAAGTCTGACCAGCAGGTGGTTGAGGTTGAATGGTTGTAGCTTTTGTACAGTTTTTCAAGTAGTTCTTTGCTTCTTCATATGTAAAGACTTTGTGGGATATTTTACTGTCAGAGAGCAGCATCACTCTCTGCTATGGCCAAGGAGGCTGCACACTGAATTGTCGAAGTCGGGTCGCTATTATTATTACGTGATATTTTGATATAATTATTATGCAGTAAGCGGACGCATATTGTTTTATATCGTGATATTCCTAAAAATATTGTATGCTTATAATCTAGTTTTCTTGTTTGATATTATAATAAACTTGACCTTAATTTGATTTGGTAAAGATTTAAATTTTAATGGATTTCAATTTTTATGTATAATTTGTAATTATACAATGATTTTAATGGATTCGAGCTTGATAAACATGCAAATATGCAATCACCAACACATTCAGTTGCCAGCGAACATGATTTTTGAATAAAACAAAAGGCAAAATATCGGAAAACTAAAATAAGCGAATAGTGGATAATCGATCAAAGAATCTTTATGCCAAATTTGAGCCAATTCTGATGTGCCGTTTTTTTAAATAACTTAAAAGTAGTTTCGAAAAATCAACCCATCAGAGCACAGCATTCTCATCGTGGTTGCGGCCTTAAATAAAATAAAAAAAATTATTTTCCAGGTATCATGACAGAAATTACAGATTCCACTACAATAACCGACGCGACAAGCTTCAAAACCACCACAGAAGAAGAATCCACGATTTCTTCCGGCCAACACCATACAACGGGAACTTACGGTAACATGACCACAACAGATATGGGCTTTAGCTCGACAACCCACCAGCACAGCACTATAAGAGGCCACAGCAAGCCCACTTATATATCCACAGATCCGACTTCGAGTACCCCTACAATAGTAACCACCGGTATCGATAAATACACCGACATGCCCAACGAAATTAACGTCAAACAACCTGGGCAGTATCCTCCTCCTGACTACACGAACAACATGTACGGAATTAATAATTACAACAAAATCCCTCCGACTCAGAGGATCAATTCGGAAACCTCAGAAGCGGTAGCTTTGATTATAGGAGTAATTGCAGGCTCCTTGATAGCCGTGATTCTGGTCATATTAGCCATTCTCAAATTTAAATCGAGAAGCGACAGGTCGTTCAAGATAGATGATAGTAAAGAGTACCCGCACGGGCCCAGTACTGCTTTGCTCGGTAATACTGCATCGAGTACCGCCAGTCAATCACAGTACCAGCTCAACGGCGCCTTGAGGAACGGCGAAAAATCTCAAATGCAACAAAAACAAAAGAAGAGAGACAGTAAAGACATTAAAGAATGGTATGTGTAAAAAAACAAACGGGTGCGAATGTTTTTATTTTTTATGTGACTCCGAGCCATGATGTGCGAGTTAATTGATTGGGAACGTGATATTTTAATTAGATTGTTTTTTTTTTTTTTTGTTTTTTTTTTTTTCGTTTCTACCCCCAAGTGAGTCTAATAATGGAAATTAATGGTGAGATTATTATTTTTTTTTTTTTGATGCATCTCGAATTGTTATTTGAGAAGATTGGAAATGGAAAATCAGTTGGTCTTATTTCCATACTTACAAGTAAAGGTGCAACACCGGTTCTAGCACAAAATCAGTCATTTTCCCATGTAAATCTCCAAAATGGTACGAAAGTTGCCAGAACGGACCTTAGATTTTCTTATGGAGATTTACATGGGAAAATTACTGATTTTTTGTGCTAGAACCGGTGTTGCACCTTTACTCTTACAATTTAAGTCATAATATTATTGCCTGGACAGTTGGAAGGATTTTTTTAAAACCAGGCAGGACATTGTGGTTCTTATCTCAATTCAAAGATCATCAGATTAAGTTCGATTTTATTATAACCAGATTTGTAGTCGAGGAAATTATCTACAACTTCTGCTGAGTAGTTGATAATATCTACAAGTTCTGTAAAAATCATGGTGTTTCAAAGCAGGATGTTTGATCCCATCCCAATTCCTTCATTTCAGTATTACTGATTTCTTCTCGTTTCTGCTGTGTTTTCATTTTTATAATCATTTCACTCAAAGTCTATTAAATTGCAATAATTTTCCATAGTCAATTCACTTTACGTCATAGTCATCAATGGTTATATACTTAAGTCTCGATTTCCTACACGTACCTACTTACAATTATTTTTCCTTACTTTCACTAACAAAATACACTTTTTGATTACCAACATAGAACAAGCACATGATGTAGATAGATTACCCGTTTTAAATTTTTCTCAAACTTCTTGATTCGCGACGGTCAACTGACAATCCTTTCGACATTCGATTTTAAACGGGAATTTAAATTGATGTCCGACGCGTTGGATTTCTGTTAGATGAGTGGTCAGACCATCTTCTCCAGATTCTCTAGCCATGAGTTCTAGGGGCCGATTCTCGGACCAGGGAGTAGAGCTCCCCGAGAGAACAAATTTTTCGTCTATATCATTCTCGTTTACTATTCGATTACGCTGATAAGGACAAAACATTTTTTTTATCGAGGAGTTCTACTCCCTTAGACGAGAATCCGGCCCCTGGCATCTTCCTGTTCAAATTTGGAGATAATATCAGATACAATTTAAAGTAGAAAACTATTTTATTAACCGGAAAATGAACAATAGAAATTAATAAAAATAATATAAAAAATGACTACTACTTTGACAAATTGTCACACTAACTAAAAACTGGTTCACAGGTGTACAAAAAATAATTATAAATAAAAGAATGCAATCCTATTGATTGTCTCAAACCTTGATACAGACCCATGAAAACTGTTTACCTATTCAAATTTAAAAATGATTATTGTTGAACAAGTATATTATTTCAACACCCCCTCTCAACCATAATTATTTTTCAATCAGTCAGACAGGCCACTCTTGGCACTTAAATATTCCAACTTCACTTTATTTAGCGGCTTGGTTAACATATCAGCAATCATATCCTCAGTCGGACAATATTTAAAATCAAAAACCCGCCTTTCACACAATTCTTTCACAAAGTGATACTTTGTATCAATGTGTTTTGTTCTATTACTAAATTTATGGTTTTCTAGTTGCTTAAGACAACTTTGGTTGTCTTCATACATAACTACTCTCGGTTCCAAATCCACAAACTCCTGTATCATCTGCTTTAACCAAATTGCTTCTTGACAACCCTCAGCTAGTGCTATGTACTCAGCTTCAGTTGACGATAGTGACACACAGCTCTGCTTCCTGCATCCCCAATTAATAGGTGCACCCTGTATCATGAATATGTATCCGCTATTCGATTTTCTGTTCTGTTTATCTTCCGCCCAATCAGCGTCTGCATATCCATATAGTACACTATCTGAACTGCGTTCTCCTAATACGAGTTTTTTATGTTTTGTTTTCTTTAAATATCTCAACACTCTTTTAGCTTCATTCCAGTCAACTTCTTTCGGATCCTTATTGTGTTGACTTAATATAGTTACACTAGCCAATATATCAGGTCTCGTATTTACTGCAATGTATAGCAATCCTCCGATTAATTGTTGGTATATTTCACTATTTTTCATAGGCTCCAGCCGGTCTAGTTTATAATATCCGTTATCCAATGGTATATTTGATGTTTTTGAATCTTTCATTCCAAACTTGTCTAACAGTTTGTCTATATACTTTGCTTGATTCAAACTGTAAATTCCTTGATCATTTTTCACAATATTTATTCCTAAATAATTTTTTAATAACCCCAAACTTGTTATCTCAAAATAATGTTTTAATTTTTCTTCAAAAAAGTCAATTTCTTCAATATCCTTTGCTGCAATCAATATATCATCTACGTATATTATTATGTAAACCCTTTGGTCATCGATAATCTTAATATACAAACATGCATCAATATTACTTTTACGAAATCCATCATTTGTCAATATTTCATCAAGTTTCTGGTTCCAGATTCTGGCAGACTGTTTCAATCCGTATAAGCTCTTGTTCAATTTGCAAACATAACTTGTGTCTCCTTCTTCAAATCCTTCAGGTTGTTTCATATAAATTTCTTCTGTCAGTTCTCCGTTTAGGAAAGCTGTTTTTGCATCTAAATGTCTTATTGTGAGATCTTGACTCCATGCCTGTGTTAGCAATATTCGGAAAGTTGCTTGCCGCACTACAGGTGCGAATACTTCATCGTAATCAACTCCGAATTTTTGGCTAAAACCCCTCGCCACCAGTCGTGCCTTATATTTGTTCGACGTTTTATCTTCACCTGTCTTTAGCTTGAATATCCATTTACATGATACTATATTTTTTTCCTTTCGGTGCATGTACTAAGTTCCATGTTTCGTTAACCTTTAATGATTTGAATTCGTCTTGCATAGCTTGCATCCATTTTCCACTATCTTTGCTGGCAAGAGCTTCCTTGAAGTTTTTGGGCTCTATTTCTTGTAGTTCAACGAACTTTGCTACGTAGCGCTCGGGTGGAACTCCCTTATTTACTCTATTTGATTTACTACGGCTACCCACGTCATACATGCCAGGTTCTTTGCTCGGTTGATAGCTTTGACCACTGCCGTGATATTGTTTTGTATTTGAACCTTCATAAGAACTAGATTCTTCCGTGGCTTCTTCTATTTCCTCGATATTTTCGAAATCGGTGACCTCTTTTTCCTCTGAGTTGTTTGGTTCGTTTTTCTCCTGTGCTTTTGTCAATTCGAAAAACACTTCCGATAAAACTTCTTGCCTTTTCTTCTTTTTTATTTTATTTTCTTCAATATATGTATTACTTTCGGGGAACACCACACTACGACTTATTTTTATACGCCCTGTATATTTATCCAACAACCTAAATGCTTTAGATTCATCAGAATATCCCACGAAAATTAACGACTCCGCCTTTTTATCAAATTTATTTTTAATTAGTTCCTTTGGAATGTGACTGTAAACTCTAGACCCAAATATTTGCAAATTCGACACTTCAGGTTTAACTTCATGCCATAACTCAAAAGGTGTTTTATGTTTTGACTGGGTAGGTAGTCGATTTTGCAAATAATTGGCTGTAACTATTGCTTCACCCCAAAATTTCTTTGATAAATCCCCATCAATTAACATACACCTAGCCATCTCAACTAGCGACCTATTTTTCCTCTCAGCAACCCCATTTTGCTCTGGAGAGTACCCCGCAGTGTACTGAATTTTTATGCCCTTACCCTTTAAATATTCCCTCAAAAAATTATTTACATACTCACCACCCCTATCCGACCTAAAAGCCTTCGGAACCCTGCCTGACTGATTATTCATTAACTCAATAAATTCTTTAATATATTTTAAAGTTTCATTTTTATGATTCATTAAATATACAGTTGTATACCTTGAGAAATCGTCAATTAAAGTAAGAATGTATCGCTTACCTCCCGGAGTGACAGTCTTCATGGGTCCGCAAACATCTGTATGTATTAAATCAAGTATATTGAATGTATTATTTTGAGAATTTTTCGGGAAACTCTTGCGGATAATTTTACCTTGTATACAACAATTGCAAGTTTCTCTGATCCCACAGTCCTTAATAATAATCCCGGATGCCATTTTTCTTTCCATCAGGTGCTTGATTGCTTCCATGTCCCTGTGCCCAAATCGTCGATGCCATGTATGCTGACAGTCACTTGAATGTTCATTAGTAACGCTTAGTGCCTGCTGCACGGTTGATAACTTGTACAAGTCGGGCGCCGGGCTTGCACTTGCTATCACTTTTTCGTGTAAAACGATTTTACATTCACTGTCGTTAAAATGCACGTTATAACCCGCACTTGTTAGTTTTTTCACAGAAAGTAGATTTGAATCCAATTGCGGCACAAACAACACATCATCGATTTTTAGCTCGTATACTTCCGCTCTATTTACACACTTGATGGATCCTGTGCCTATGCCTTCAACTTTGGAGTGCTGCCCCTTCTCTGCTAGTCTCACAACGCCTTTTCTGCTTTCATCAAACTGGGTATAAAATCCCTTAGAATTAACCATGTGACTCGAAGCTCCTGAATCCACATACCACGAAACAGAATCCCGTTTCACGTCGCTAAAATTTACCATAAAACACATATCATCAGTATTATTTTCACTAACTGTATTGGCCCTTTCTTTTATAAACGCCTTATACTTAAAACAATCCCGTTTAAAGTGGCCTTTTCTGTTACAAAAGTAACATTGCTTTCCGTCTGTGTTTGCACTGTTTGCAGCATGATTACTTCTGTCACCTTTATATACTGACTTCATGGCTAACTCCTCTTGAATTCTCAAAGATCCTTGACGTCTCCTGTACTCATCGATTAATTTACTTTTGACGAATTCCAGCGTAAATTCATTTGATGGTTTACTTTCCAGCGCTGTAATTAAAAAACTGTACGAGTCTGGAAGACTTCCCAGCAAAATCCCTGCTGCAAATCTGTCCTTAATTTCTTCTCCTAAGGCGGCCAATTTGTGCAATAATTCCAAGAATAAACTGATGTGTGCTTCCATATCACCATTTTCTTCTAGCGTCAACCTGCAAATCCGCTTTAATAGAAACACCATGCTAGATAAACTTGATTTTTGGTGATACTCCTTTAGTGCTTCCCACGCCTCACGTGCATATTGCTTATTTCTGATATGCACCAATTGACTAACATCGACAAGTAGGGCTATAGTTGATAAGGCTTTGTCATTTTCCTTTTTCCATTTGGCGTCTTGCGCTGCTTGTGTTGGTACTGCAGTCGATACTACGTCCCATAAATCAGCATTTATGAGTAACATTTTCACCAGATAATTCCATGACTCGTAATTCTGCCCGTTCAATTTTTCAATGTTATACTTGGCACCTTCCGCCATTATTCCGGTTTTTAAGAGTTTCCGCGAACACAACTCGCGATTGTACCCTTTATTTATTATCTCTTACAGGAGAGCTAACGCGACGTAGCTGGGCCCATAACCTGTTCAAATTTGGAGATAATATCAGATACAATTTAAAGTAGAAAACTATTTTATTAACCGGAAAATGAACAATAGAAATTAATAAAAATAATATAAAAAATGACTACTACTTTGACAAATTGTCACACTAACTAAAAACTGGTTCACAGGTGTACAAAAAATAATTATAAATAAAAGAATGCAATCCTATTGATTGTCTCAAACCTTGATACAGACCCATGAAAACTGTTTACCTATTCAAATTTAAAAATGATTATTGTTGAACAAGTATATTATTTCAACACTTCCAACTGATCTTCTACCTTGTACTTTACCCTCCATTATCAATCAGAATAGCTCGTACCTTCCACTTCTCATCACGTGACCCAAGTATTACACTTTCCTCTCCCTATTGGAGTTTAGGAGTTCTTTTTGCTTATTCATGCGTTGGAGTCCTTTCTCGTTCGTGATCCTATGTATAGTTGATCCAAAACTAAATTTTTTGCACTAGTGGCAGTGCATCCTCCCGCTATTTCTAAGAAATATAATTATTTGTTTTACCAAAGAACTTACTAAATATGACTCGAGTTGTTTATCAATATATTCACGAAAAACTATCCCAATCAAAATCGAGCTTTCCGGGATTATTTCATCTATATCCTCTAAATTAAATATTGCTAACCCATAAAGACTATACTGATTTTCCTTATTTCCATCAACTAATAATAAAATTAATTTTTTTAAAAAATTCCTAAGAAATTACTATAGGCGTAAACAGTTTAGATTTACGAATAAGAAATTTTATAAATTAGTGTAAATTACCTTTCGAACCTTATACCATTTACTATTTACTCACCTATTACGGCAATACCCCTATTGCTAAGAATCTTAGTCGAATTTCCCATTTTTTTTAGTTTAGGTAAGATGTAAAAATATTATAAAACGCACAGGCTATAAGGCGTATGAAAATTCTCAGAATATTATGTAGATATTTAAATATTATATTATTGTATTTAAATTTCGTTTTGTTTTATTATTTTCTTGACTGTCCCCGTAACAATTTTTTTCGATTTTTCCCTTTTTACTATTATTAGTCCAATTGAGTCAAATATGAATCATGGCGTTGAAAAATAGTTCAAATGAATCAAGTATGTCTCATTGATGAATATGCGTGATTCATGGGACAGTATTATTTATTTATTTTTTTGGATTCTTGGAAAAAAAAAACTAGCAAATACGAATATAAATTATACTAAATTATTTTTGTATAACGCTAGGGCATCTAGTTTTATAAAAGGGGAACATAACACATTCACTGTTTAAGTTTAATTTAAAGACACACTACACTGTTGGTACTGTTCACTAAAAAACTCGGATTTGAAGGAAATGCATAAAAGACTGTAAAGTTAACGTTAATATCACTTAACCATATCTTTTGCGCTAGGGCTAGCCAAAGTGCCATTAGGTAATTGAGAAACGAGACGGATGAAATTAGATGAGAGTGTAATTTGTATTTGTATTTGCTTTACATCGTAGCAATAACTTTTAAACAATAAAATTGACGATGTAAACCTTATTGTCACTATAAGTAAAAAAGCAAATTTGTATATTAAACCCAAAATTAACCCAAAAAGGTTCCTTAAAGAAAATTAAATATAAGATAAAAGTTTAGAAGCGGCTTACTAATTAAATAAATAATTTAAAACATTTTTTTAAGGTACTGAATTAATCTAAATTAATTCAAAAGTTAAACGCTCCCAAGTAACTATATTTAAATTAAAATAAAATCAATTGTATATAATTATAAAAAATAAACATAGATAAATTTAGAAATTAAAAGGTTATAATAGATAATACACATGCCCGATGATTTCTCCAACCGATTTCACTTTATATTAAAATAAATTATAAAATTATTAATACGATTTAACTTGTACGGCATCTGTTGTGTAAAAAGAAAACAAAAAATGTAATTAGTGAAACTAGATTTTTGTATTATAGTTTTTTTTTTGGATCTTTTGTTAGTGCTATTCAATAAAATGGCGTATATTTGGATGTTAGCTGGTGTTGTTTTATTACTCTTGGATCAATTATTAGTGCAAATCATAATATCAATCGATAAAGCAGAGACACCGAAGGCTGTTATCAAAATGCATCAGCTTTTAATCATTCGAGACAGAAATATTGGTGGACTGTTAGGAATGATAAAACGGTTTTCCAATCGACGCTTCAACGTTAACTGCCAAGTGGTCTGACCGCTTTAAATTTGAAGATGCCGTCCCTCTTTGCCTCCAACTTTCTAAAAACCATTCTTTCAACGATCATGTCATATTGCTTGAGGTTCTGAAAACGCCATAAAAGGGCATTCAATCAAGAAGAAGACTGTTCAGGCTCTAATACTTATTGGTCCACCCTTACATACCAACAGACCAGTCTTAAATCAAATTATCTACGACCAAAATCAGGTTATTTCTCACATTATCGACGACAGGTAGCACTAATGTTCTGTTTCTGCCTCTGCTATTGGCCAGTTTTGATGGGATTTTAGACAATAGGAATGAAATTAACATGGCTCAACAACTATAGATAATAAAAATCCGCTCATCCTGCGAAACTAAAAAGATGACTGTCGGAGCTTGTAACCCCTTCTGATAATGAATTAACAAGAGGCCCATAATATGCTCAGTTTACTGAGCGAATAACCATTAAGGGTGGGTCAATGGTTTAATAAGTACAGAATGGCAAGGGCGCCACTGAATTTAAAAAAATAAATAATCAAATTTCATAAAATATTGAAGTGTGAAACTTCAGAAAACCACCTAAAAAAATAATCAGCTAACGGTAATTAATAATTCTGAAAAGGAAATAAATAAGGCATATAACTCAACCAAATCTTGACATAGGTAAAACCAACAAAACACTCGAGGAATTTTCAATTCAAAATGGTATATATTTTCACAGTGAGATCTTAAATCAAGTATTGAATAATTTTAAAATGTAAAATCAATTGTGGTTAAAACATTTTAAATAGAATCAATAAATAGACGTTAATTCTCAATTAGATTCATAAAATTCAAAAAAAAAAAAAAATTGAAAAAATAATATTACAATGTACCGGGTGTCTATATTTTGCACCCACACCTATCTCACCTGTTTGAAGAGATACCCAGAAATGTCAAAGGTGAAAGTTGTAGGTAATATCAGACAGTTTTCAATGAAGCTAGTTTCAAGTATACAGAGTGTGTCACAAAAGTGTGGCGAAGCAAAGTTATACTTTTTTAAATGGAAATCCCGTATATTATTATCCCATTGGATTAGCCTTACAAATCTGATTCCAAATATACTAGGTTTTTTAGATTTATTCCTCATAGTCCAGCCTCTGAATATACTATTTTGAAGAAATAATATGGGTTTTTTCATGAATGATTTCCTTTATATTTCAGTGGTGGTCTCTATACTTCACTTTTTTCGATAAAAATGCAATTATTCCACCCCTTTTTCTCCTATTTTCTCCTGGACTATCCGGAATAATCCTGAAAAACCTAGTATATTTGGAATCAGGTTTGAAAGGCTAATCCAATGGGACAATAATATACGGGGTTTTCCATTTAAAAAAGTATAACTTTGCTTCGCCACACTTTTGTGACACACCCTGTATACTTGTAACTAACATCATTGAAAACTTTATGACATTACCTACAACTTTCACGTTTGACATTTCGGGGTATCTCTTCAAACAGGTGAGATAGGTGTGGGTGCAAAATATAGACGCTCACCCGGTTCCTTAATATACTTGCCATATAAGTTCATTAACAGTCGCTGGTCCTATCATTATAATGAAATGGAAATATAAAGGATTTAGGTTTCTAGAAAACTAATTAAAAAAATTGTATTGATAAAATATGTTCAGCTTCTGCTTAGAGAATAAATTCAATAAAATCAGCTTGCACCTGTATGAAATCGAAAGTTGGGTTAAATGGTCAGGAGATATAATAGAAACCCTCAAATATATAAGTAAAAGACCCAAGTTAAAAATTAATCAATTTTCGATGATGTGACAACATACTCCATAATTTTAAATTTAGAAGATGTTGTCCAACCTTGACTTCAGTTCAGATTATTTATCATGAATAATAACATTTACCTACACTCCTTAAACATGGCAGTATTAAAAGTTAGGTGAAGATAAATCTATAATAAATTCGATTAATCAAAAATCCAGAAAATCAATTATTACACCATCACCTCGGTGTCAAGAATGCGAAATTAAAATTTTAAATATTTTAATGTCATAGCAGTAAAAATTCAATCATGTTAATTGATCATAAAATAGATTATAATAAAAAAAATAAATAATAAAAGTTATTAAGGAAACTTTATACAAGCCTCCATTCCAACAAAAGGTGGATTACGGTAGCCATCCAGCCATCCATTTTCTGTCACTTGACGAGGGAAGTTGCACATGAAAGTTGCAGATTCTAGCCTTGAGTCAAGGTAGATAGAGGCTATAAGTTCTCAAGTATCGTAAAATGTGAAGGTACAGGAGTCAATACGTGAGGGACTAGATTCCTCTAGGAATTCCTCCAAAAGCTCTATACGACACTCCACAAAAATGTTCTTCTTTAAAAATGTGGGCTTGTTGGGAATGGATTCGTTGAGAGGAACGGATCCTCGGAAAAACGGCTCCTCGGAAAACTCTAAGTAATAAAGGCATTCCATGAACAGCCATTACTTAAATAAAAAGGACTTACCACGAGAGGGGTTCGAAATTCAAACTCAAATAAAACGGTAATCACGAGACTTTTGATTTTAATTTTTTCGGTAATCAACGGAACTTTCCCTTACGCAACTTTATTTCCCCAAACTAATGCCTGATGGCCGATAAGGTACTTTTCTTCACGAGAACGGTAATCACAGTTGAGGAAGATGGATGCCCCCCAGGCTAGGGGGGCTAATCCAATGGGATAATAATATACGGGATTTCCATTTAAAAAAGTATAACTCTGCTTCGCCACACTTTTGTGACACACTCTCTATACTTGTAACTAGCTTCATTGAAAACTTTCTGATATTACCTACAACTTTCACCTTTGACATTTCTGGGTATCTCTTCAAACAGGTGAGATAGGTGTGGGTGCAAAATATAGACAATCACCCGGTACATTGTAATATTATTTTTTCAATTTTTTTTTTTTTTTCAATTTTATGAATCTGATTGAGAATTAACGTCTATTTATTGATTCTATTTAAAATGTTTTAACCACAATTGATTGATTCCAAAAACGACACAAAAAATGTCTCAAATCTAAACCTGGATTTTGAAAGCGCATTGAAAATCGTAACCTCGGTACCACTTTTTATCAAAATGTTCGTGGTCTTAGGACTAAATCTGATGAAATTATGAGATCAACGTCCGCATATAACTTCGGATGATAGCATTAACCGAAACCTGGTTCTACAACTCAGAATTACTCAACTCACAGTACACATTTTTCCGATGAGATAGGAACTAAATATAATGAACTGGGCAGTCAACGTGTGTGCGGAGTAATAATCGCTACACTGGGGCACCTTCACTCCTCTATCTCTACATCTCAATCAAACCTTTACGAAGATGTTTGGGTTTAGCTGGATCGCGATGGAAGTAAAATTATTGTTGGCTGTATCTACTTTTCCCCTCAATTCTACGGTCTAATGCTACCAGTCTTTCTGTGACACCTGTTAATCTCTTGAGCACACTTATTCTAAACACAGATTTCTTATATTTGGCGATTTCAACCTAGCATGAATTAAATGAGTATTTGAAGATGACACAATAGTGCGTGGAGTCCCTAGAGAACTACTATCAGTTTCTGCCGAGATGCTCATGGGTACTTTCTTGAACTGCAACAGATGAACATCGTTCAAAATCATCTGAGCAGAAATCTGAGCTTAATTTTCGTCGACGACTTTATTGATCTCTCCATCACACCCAGTGCTGATCCTCTGGTGGCAAGGGATACTTACCACCCGGCCATAGAAACTTGTTTCACCCTGGGATACATCAAGACGTTCAGTGTCAGAACTGAGGTCAAAGTATTTGATTTGCATCGCGACAATTAGGCATTCCAGCCTCCTGTCAAAGAAACCCAAAATGGCCGGTCATTGGAACACAAATATAGGTAAACACGACGTTAAATGTGTTTAATGTGTATTTGAGAACAATATTTTTCTGTATTTTCATTATTTGGAGTTCCAGGATTTTGTGATAATTTCAATTTCAAACATGTTACGCATTTTACGCATTTTAAATGAATTATTTGGCCAAAGAAGACAAAAATGGATTAGTGCTATGAAATTTTGTTTTCTCCATATACCGACCGGTTTGCAGCTTCTTTTCACGTTCAACTAATAGGGTTTTTACTTCATTTGTACTTCTTACTGCTTTTCTTGCTTCAAGCAGATCTCAAGTTCTCGGCATTCACTTGTCCCATCATATAGGGTGTTTGGCGGAGGGTTAGCCAAACTTGGTGGGCGTATAGATAGGCCCATTTGGAAGATATTTTCTTAGTACACTAATGCCCTCTTAAGGTCCCCGTTTTTTTATATCATTGCTTTTGTATTATTCTCAAGAATTTTCAAAAATGGACCTTTTAACTTCTGTAACTTTTTAACTTTCTGATATTATCTAGGATATGCTACAGACCAAAAACACACGCAACAAACGTTTTCATATATATTTTAAAAAAAGTTACAGAAGTTAAAAGGTTCATTTTTGAAAATTCTTGAGAACAAATGATGAAAAAAAAATGGAACCTAAGGCCACAATTATATTAATAAAATATCTTCGAAATGGGCATATCTATACGCCCACCAAGTCTGGCTAACCCTCCGCCAAACACCCTGTACATAGGCTCATAAATAGCAGGTCCTAGCAGATCTTCCTGATTTTTCGAGCAGGTAGAGCAAGTACAAATGAACAGCCTATAAATATCTACTTTGATTGTAACCGTACTGAACATTCCATTTTTGGAAAATAATAATAAAAAACGAGTAACCAATCCGAGCCTTATCAGTTCCGTTGACACCTATTTAATCACTTTTCCCTACTTCACAAGGTCAATTTTCCAGGTAATAATGAGGATTTTATGAATAAACCTAATGATTAAACATCCACAGGTAAATTTTGCAGGTAAATAGGGCTATATTAAATTAAAATTCCATCTGTCCCCTATAGTTCAATGGGTTTGTGTGCCAATGACCGGCCATTTTGTATGTGACTTTTGACACGTGATTTGGAATGCCTAATTACTCGAAACTTAACGACTTTTATGAGCAGACAAACTGGTCTCTTTAATCCACAATAACCGACGTTGATTCAATGATCACTCTCTTCTATGAAACCCTTTTTCAGGGTATTAACCTTTCAGTCCAAGAAAGCAACATAGAGCGACAAATATCCCAAATGATATGACTAAGGACTTGGTAAATGCATCGCGCAAAAAAATTAGATATTATAAGAAATTAAGACTGAGAAGTGACTATGAAGCCTACACTAAAATTTGCCGAAAGACTAAAATCCGCATTGACATGTGCTATTTGTTATATGTTACCAACACTAAGAACCTGATCCCTCAAATTATCAAACATTTTTGGTCGTTTATCAATAATTTAAGGAGGAACTCGAACTTGCCGACACAGAAGAAGGAACAAGGATTGCACATTGGACAGCTCCAATTGCATTACTGATGCATTCGCCATGCACTTTCAAGCGTCCTATTTTAGCCACGATAACTTAGACACGACATCCATTGAACCTGTCCAGTTTGCTTCTCCTTTTATCTCATAACTTCCAGACACAAGAAATTACAGACAAGTTAATTCTTCTGGACATATACAAAAAAGCAGGTCCCGATGGAATACCGCCTATATTTCTGAAAAGTTGCTCCTCTTCTTTAGTCTTACCACTTCCCATTATTTTTCAACCATCTCTGGATTGTGGCTTTTTCCTGAAATGTGGAAGTTTTCCCTCCTTCTTCCTATCTTCAAGTCTGGAGACAGGTGCGATGTTGAGAAGTACCTACCGTGGAATATCGATATTTTCTGCCATTCCAAAAGTATTCGAATTGATCTTAACCGAGGAAATATTCGTAACATATAGACTTTAACTCATACCAGAACACCACGGATTCTTTAGCAAGCGTTCAACTGCATCCAACCTAGCAGTCTACTACAACTTCTTAATAACCTACCTCCGTTGAGGCTGGACACAAGGTCGACTCCATTTACACAGATCTAGCCAAGGCTTTTGATTGCCTTTGTCACCTCCTTCCTTCAAAAAAAAACTATCAGATGATTATTCAAAAACTGTACATAGGATTGAATTCATACTAACATGAAAAGGTTGAGGGGTTAGTCAGAAACAGGAAAATACCAGTGGCATACACTCGATCGACCTACGAATGAAGAACCATACGAAAATATACAACACTGTATGATTATTGAAAAACTGTACATAGGATTGAATTTATACTAGTATGGAAAGGTTGAGGGGGTAGTCAGAAACAGGAAAGTACCAGTGGCGTACACTCGATCGACCTACGAATGGAGAACCATACGAAAATATACAAAACTTTATGATTATTCAAAAACTCTCCATAGGATTGAATTCATACTAATATGGAAAGGTTGAGGGGGTAGTCAGAAACAGAAAAATACGAAAATATACAAAGTTGTATGATTATCAGAAATTGGTATCTCTGGAAACTATTTGGCATGGATCGAATCATATCTTGGAGATCCAACCCAGCGGGAAAAAGTGTGTGGCTACCCCTCAAAAAACGTCAAGGTCACTTCCGGTGTTCTCCAAGAATCACACATGGGACCTGTTCTTTTCCTGTTATTTATCACCGATGTTTCCTCCTGCTTCCATTCTTCCGCACTTTCTCCCACATGCTGATGACCTGAAATTTTATATTATTAGGCATAGAGTTTCCCATCCACTGCAACGATCTCGGCAGATTTGCGTCTTCAAACCTATTGAAAATCAACATTCCCAAATGCAAATCAATAACTTTCCATAGGAGTACATCGCCTTACTTGTCAACACATAAGATGGGTGTTCGGCAAATTGATAATGTGGAATTCATCAAGGACTTCGGTGTAACGTTTGATCAAAAACTGATATTCAAAATGCACATCCATAATATTGTTGTCAAAAGCTGCAGATTGTTTGGCTTCATCAAGCGAAACACCAAACCCATCAACGACACCAAGGCACTCACATGTCTTTACAACGCCATTGTACGCAGCACACTTGAATACTGCTCTGTCATCTGGTTCCTACATTATACCATCCATATTAATAGACTTGAGAACGTCCAAAACAGGTTTCTAAAATACCTACTTTATAAACACCGCTTGTCTTCATCAGGAAACCCGACTGTTGCTGTGTGGGATGAAGAGTCTTGAGCAAAAACGGAAACACGCTCTACTTATCATTCTTTATAAAATCCTGAACAATTGGATAGATTGCAGCACCTAATTGGAATCAATATTATTTTTGGTTCCCTTTAGACGAGCCAGACAACATCAACTTCTTCATGAGCACCCGCATAGAACAAACTATGGATTCATAGCTTCTGTAAATAGAATGATTCACAACTACAACAGAAATTATAGGGAGTGTGATCTTTTTAATTATTCTTTATTGTCGATTGAACGTTGTTTCTAAACTTTAAATTTCAATTTTATATTTGCTCATGTGTACCACTAGTCTGACTATTGTTCACTGTGATTTTGTTCGATGTCTTATTTTTTCCCATCTTAATCCAGTGAGTAGGATTATGACTTAAATAATTATTCTGCATAAGCTGTCAGTAAATGACTTAGGAGTTTCAAGAATTTATAGATATAGGTGAAGGGTAGTTTTAATAGGAATGTGAATCGGAAGTGTTGTTTGAAAGAGTAAATGTATAATTTTATAAGTTATTAAGAATATAAGAAGTATGGCATTTTTAGTATGGATAATTCCTGGTCCATAGTGATGAAATTTGAGCGGATGTGAAATAAATTGTTTTGGGAAAAAAAAAATAGAAGTGACTGTCAGACAGAAAGATATTTGCTTTATTTTAATTTTGGTTTTAAGTATAATAAAATATAATTTAGTAAACCTCAATAGTTTGTTTCTCTCATTTGCGAATAGTTCCCCTCCACAAGGTAGCCGCTCAAGGAAATAAACACCATCAATATACCGCTCGCCATTTACCATCTGTTCTGAGTTTTGCTACAGTACCATTTGGAAAACTTTTATTCTGCAGTTTGAGAAAATAAATAAATAATAATTTGAGGTCATCTGTCATCTGTCGAAAAGACTACAAATTGAACATCTACATATTATATTATGTACAATCTGGCAACATTGCCTGATAACTAGAAAATTCGCGATTGGAATTTTCTCGAGCAACGAATTCGAGAATAATTTTCTGGACAATATTGGAAACAACGACGCGCTATAAAACGGACTCGGTCACCAGGAAAAGAGCCAAGAATCAGTTAGTTGAACGCGGATAAGTTATTAATCAGATCACGAGAGTCGACAGTAAGACAGTGACTTGTGATTTTGGTTTTGTAAAAATCACGTTTAATAAAAACAAGTCGAGGAACCTAAAAAAAAACGAAATAGGTAGATGTTAGATTTATATATTTAATTTAAAAAAACATAAATATCACTTTGATTAATTGGCAAATTATTAATTAATTGAAACATCACACATTGGTGCAATTTGAAAATGAGTGCTTTTTCGAGTTTGTTTGCACAAACTCTTATAAAAGTTTTAAATTTTAATGAACAATAATATTCTTTATTCATAATTACATTATGTGTAAGAAATATCGGCGATACATATAGATATAAAAATTTAAATAGAATATAGAAGAATGTAAAGAACAAGAAGACATTTTAGCAGGAGTAGGTATAGTCTTATTCCATAAGCATAAGATTTGCGTTAGTTTCATGTCCTATGGAATATGACTGTCGATTACAAAATGTTTCAGAACAATAAGACAATATAAACAATCTTTTTTCGTTGATTCATATAATACATTATAAAAGCTCTTCACCACACAAATAAAAAAAAACAATTTAGTTACAAAAAAATAATAAAAATATAAAAATACCAAAAATAAAATATTTTATTTCTTAAAAAATATTTAAATCTAAAGCACCCCATATTACAAATGGAAAATATTCTAATAAGGTAAATGTTTCAGTTATAGGCCGCTTTTTCTTGTCCATTCAAAATAGTGGCCGATCACCGGTACATTATTTACCTTACATTATCTTAAAACTAATAATTTTCGAATTTTTAAATAATTAATTTACATAAATATTTACATTTTTGATTATGTACAATATTGTTTGTTACTTATTGAAGGTATTACATGAATTTTGGATACGAAGCGGCTAAATGTCGATTTCGATAAATAAAGTCCACTTTCAGTCGCTTCATTTTTAATTGTGCGGTTAAAATAAAGAAAAATAAATATGTTTTCTATTTGGAAATTATAAATAATAATTGCTACATCACATCATGAATCTCTTTAAAAAAAATTGACCAATGTGTTGTAACGGTCCCGAAATATGGAACAATAATTCACTGTTACTATCATAGTTATTCATAAATAATGCGATTTCTTTCAAATTGAACGGCGGGTGGAACCGCGGGGAACATAAAAGAATTTGCCAGTCTTGTATCAAACCATCAATACAACAGGAGACTAAAACCACATGCCAACGAGAAGGCCGGAAGCCATAAAAGCTCACAAAAATATTCTCGAATAATCACACTTGCAACATCACTAGAGGTTCCTGAGCCTGGGAATGGCCCCATATGGGCACCAAAAACATAATAAATGCAAGGCTAAACTACATCCTAAGGTGTTATGGGGCTTGAGACTGGACGTACAGCATAATGTTCAACTCCATCTTGACAGATTATGCCTCCCTAGTGTGGTGGCCAAAGACAGAGCAGGATACTGCCATGCGCCAACTTAGCAAAGTGCCAAGAGTGGCCTGCTCAGGAATATCGGAAGCAATGCGGTCCACAGAGACTCTCCTAAACCTCCCACCTCTGCACATTGTGATAGAGGGAAGGATGGAAGATTATAGACTGCAACCGACAACCGACGGGACACATGAAAATCGCGGAACTTGTTGGGGGAGATATTCTGAAAATGAAGACAGACCACATGACAAAATGACACTTCTTCAACAAACCGTTCGACGTCAGCTTCCCAAGAAGAACTAAATGGCAACAGGGTATACTGGAGATCAAAAAGTAAGACCGGACTTGGTTCCCCGGACGGGTATAATCCGCCAGCTACAGCAGTCACTATGCACTGGTGGGGGGGCATGCCTCTGTTTTTCAGGTAGAAGTCTATGCTATACTCCAGTGCGCAATTACAGGAGAGCCGTAACCGATAGACAGGTCCTTATAAACAATAGGTACTGAAGCACCACCCAGTAAAAACCTGTACAACCTTGTACAGGACACCAAAATACTAAAACGTGCTAAGCACAATAAGCCTTCTCAAGCTTCAGTGCTACATGGGGCCAGTAAGTCGGACACATGAGCAGGGGCCCAGGGTCCAAAAGGGCCCCACGATGCTGCGAAAAATGTTTTTACGTGATACTCAAGTGATAGATTAGGGGTCCACAAATATATTTTTCGCTGAGGACCACTCATCCCTACATCCGTCACTGCATCATTAATCAATTACTAGTAACGAGGTTCGTGACATATACACCTACCAGATCAAATTAGCTACAAACCTAAACAAAAAAATTTGTACCAAAATAACAAAAATCTAAATATAAAAACTAATCAGACTTTTCAAATCTAACCTTCCATCTCGCTAGCATTTTTTCGCTCCACTATGACGTTTTATGTTTCTTCTTGGGATGCGCGCGTCGGTCCTGTTCCGGATTCGACAGCAGCTTCAAGTCTTTGTAGTCCAGCTGCAAGTACCATCGTAAAACTGAGAAGCGTCCCACATGGGTCGACAATCCGGCGCCCAATAAATTTATGTACGTCTGCGGGTGTCACATTGGAGTTTATTAACATGACTATTTTTTTTTAAATAATGACCATTCACCGATGACTTAAATTATCACAAATGTTAGCAGTTAGTTACCAAACACCATCTGACACCAGCAGATTTAAAAATTATTGGACACAATGATTGTTTCACATACAACTTACCAACATTTCATCGTCTGGTATTCTCGCGAGCAAATCTAAAATTTCGTTGTTGGGAACCACGTGAGGCCTGAATATTCTTCTTAGAAATTTATTTGTCGCCCACATCATCAAAAGGTAACGCATCGGAATTAGGTATAAGACGCAGGCGGCCAATAGCAGCAACGATATCGCTATCCAGGACAGGTAAGGAACCGTAAAGTTAAACATACTGCAACAAATGTTTTATTTTTTTCGGGTTTGTCACTATTTGCAGCTACTTACTTTTTGATACCCTCCAATAATGAAGCAATTTTCCCAATAGCATTTTGAACCCCCTGAGTAACGTCTTGGATAGCTTGTAAGCGTTCTTTCAAGCTTTTCTTTTCTTCTTTTTCCTACATTTGAAAATATTCAGTGATCTTCTAAAGCTATGTCAGTTATCATACCTTATCGTCATCGTCTTCTTCGTCAAGATCCGAATCAGCGATTTCGTCCCAAGGTACTGAAGCTGGTCCCGCTAAACTCCGTATGATATACTGTTTGAAAAAAATCAGTAGGCCTCCGGCTGGTATCATCCAAATTTGAAAATAGTAACATAGCAAAAGCCAAACAACTAGACCGGCGAAACTTTGAAATTTTGATTCCCACTCGAAACAATCTCTAAAATTTAAACAGGTAAATTTCAAGTTTGATTAAACCAAGAAGTACTCACTGAAAGAATTTTCCAATTTCCAAAAAATGCATTATAAAAACCTTCAACCGTAGAACGTTCCTAACAAAAACTTGTCTTTTAAATTTAATTTCGGTTTGCATAAATTTTTCTTCTTTAGGATTCAAAGTGCGTATACAAGCTCTGATGGGATTCCAAACCAAATTCAATTCCAGTAAAATTTGAGGCGAATTACCCTTTGCTCTACTTCTTAGTTTCTTATCCTTCAACGCATACCACCGCTTTTCGCCGTTACGTATCCGCAATAGCGGAATCGCAATTTTACCCAAAAACTCTACCTTGTGATCGCGGTCCTCGTCGAACACAATAATCTCCAAAACGCTATTGATATCTTTAACGTTAAACGTAAAAATTTTATTCCAGTGCGGGCTCAGAGTTTTGTATTCGGTTTGCGTTTGTAATCGTGCGTTGCCGAGCTCTAAAACACAAAACGGATCACTTTTGCCTCCTATATCTGCCGCGGCCAATCCGGTGGCTTTAAATACTTTTACCGTGAGATGACCTACGTCTTTTAGGTTATGGAACGTTCGATGCCACACCTGAAACATTAGAAATAGAATTTGAGAAAAGTAAACGGGCAAACATATCAGTGGCTTCACAATAATTATAGCATTAACAAGAATATTAACCTTCACTCATATTTGGCTAACCAAAGCTTCTGAATAATATAAAGTAGTTGGAACTAATCTTAGACAGACGATAAAAACTCTAAAAAACTAATCTTAGTTATCGGGAACTCTCCCAAGCAAGATTCTTCTCAATCAATACAAAGATCAGAGGGTTTTCATGAGGAATGAAGTTAGACTAATCGGTCTGTATGATTTTGGATGAGAGTAGTTTTTAGAGAGGTTTAGTGATAAAGGTGACTTTAACTTCTCTTGACTTCATAGGGATTTAATTCAGGACAAGACAGGCCTTGAACAATAGGTACTTCAAGGTGTGGAATAATTCTCCTCCAGACCCCACTGAAGCATTGAAAGAATGACTCCGTCAACTCCTATGGACTTAAATAGTTTGAAGATACGTATTACTCAAGACCCAAGTGATTTTCTCATTCGAAACCTCCGCGCTTATGACTTTCCCGTTTCCCATAGCAGGGTCCAGGCAGTTGTCCGTGTTCGCAAGGATTTTGCGACATCTTCGGTTGAACAAATAATTATATTTCTTAGAAATAGCGGGAGGCGAATTTAGGTGAACGTACGTCACGATTTCAAACATGCTTTTTTAAATAATAATTCACAAAATAGCCAGTTTATATCGTTTACATGAAGGTAACTCGAGAACTCAATTAAAAAAAGTTCATGACGTTTCGCTAGCGGGCGTGGCTAGCATCTTTATAGGTGCTTCCATGTCAGAATCTAGACCGACGCGGTCCCGATCGACAGTTGTATTTATGTGTGAGTGGTTGTGCGGTGGGGGAGGGACGGGGCTTCGCATCACGTGGCTAGTCTGAACTTTCTCTGTACTCGATGGAATCTTTCTTGCGTTTTTGAGGATCGGGATCCAAATTTGGTAAGGTTTTAGCGTTTCTTCTTTCCTGTTGAACTTCTCCGTACATTTGTGAACTTGTATAGCTTCACGTACAAGATGATTGTGGTATCCGGAAGTCGGTACAAGAAGCTTGACCTTACCAAATAGTATTTCGTGATTTCCTTCACTAAGCGCATGTTCCGCTACTGCCGATTTTTCCGATTAGCCTAGACAGGGCCGGCCCTACCATAAGGCGAACGGAGCGAGCGCTCCAGGCGCCAGACCTCGGGGGGCGCCTACAATTCGTTCCTTATTGGTGATAAAAAAAGAGAAAAGTATATTTTTGCTTTGAATCCTGTGTCTTCGCTTTTCGATATTCTGCTATCTGCTATTCTGCCTGTAGTTAGTATGTGAATCCCACATGGATAACCTGTCGCCACGTTGTTCTATGACGCGCAGAAGTCGCGTGCTTGGCGTCGCCCCTACATGATCAATGATCATAATCACAATATTTCGGGATTAGAACTTTTAAGGCCCGGTTTATTGATTTCCAAGAGAAAAATTTGCGGTTAACTGTCTACAAGATAAATTCACCGATCTATAATTCTATTGGTCCATACGGACAACGCGGACCAATAGGATTGCAGATTGCGTTTTTGTCCGTCAGATTGCATTACCGCCATTACCTGACAGTTTATAAAACAATGAATAAACCTGCCCTGAAAAAAAAATAAAATAATGAAACCCAATAGTAGTACTCCAGAACTTAGCATTGAATAATTGGCAATATATGTTTCCTAATATCTAGACAGCTCTTGAGCTCTACGTATTTTTGTAGCCATTGTTGTGGCGAAAGGTGAACGGAGCTTAAGTAAGCTTACCAGTCAAACTTAAAATAACTAAAACGTACCTTAAGTCAATTCTAGCAGAAAACATACTTTCTGATCTAGCCCTGCTGTCCATTGTCCATAGATCATATTTATAGCTCAGAATTTTCATATGAGGGGATTATAAACAAATTTGCAAATGCACAAATGCGCAAACAGCGATTCACTTACAATTTTGTATTTTACTGGTTCGATTTTTATATTTATAAGAGCCGGTTTATTAACCTTCTAAACAAACTGTCAGGTACCTAATGCAATCTGACGGATAAAAACTCTATCTGCAATTCCATTACTCGGCTAGTTATTCGCCGATCAATAGATTATAGGTCGATACATTTATCTTGCAGATAAGTTAACAGCAAGTTTATGTTAAGATAAATAAATCGGGCCTGAATGTTAATAATGTTAGTAATAATAAGTGATATTACCAAAGTTGATTATTGATTGCGATCTCATAAAAAAATGTGAACCAAGTGTTAGTAAAAAAGGAGTAGCTTCCTACTTAATTATTGAAGTAGTGACAGCTGATCTCTTTGGAAAGTAGATATTATAATAAATCGATAAACGTAGAAATCTCCATTATTTGTTTGTCTACGTTAAATGAACTCTTAAAGGGAAAAGAGTAGATATAGACGGTATAGTTAGAACCAACTAAGAAGAACCCCTGACGTCATCACTGACGAAGAAGGCAAATTTTCTAAAGGCTCCCTCATTTGAAGTGAGACAAAAGATCACGCTTCATTCTTAGTTGGTTTTATCTATACCAACGAACATGGATGTTTTCAAGTTTGATAAGATAGATAGAGACATAGGTATTACAATGGTCAAAATCCATGTGCAGAAGATTCACATTTGAATTAGGGGCGCCAAAGTCGGATCTCGCTCCATCCTGAAAGTAGGCTCGGGCCGGCACTGAGCCTAGACTGCAGTTTCTTTTGTGTTCGTTGATCCTGGTTCCCATTCCATTGTATACCTTACCACATGTGCATGGTATACGATAGACTCCAGCGCTTAACAGTGGGTTCCTCTCATTCTAGGCTGATCTGATTGACTGCTGTAGTTTCCTTGTTGGCTTGTAGATCATTTTTATGTTGTGTTTCTTCAAGACTTTCCCTATCCTGTCTGTCACCCGAGAAATAAAAGGCAGATATGCATTAGCCACTACTGGTTGTTCATCCACGTTTTGTCGTGTGGCTGTTTTGGGTCGCATGGCCCTGTCGATTCGATTTCAGATGCATTATATCCATTTGATAAAAAGGCCAACTTGAGGTGATCCAGTTCTTGCTCCAAATGTTCCGAGCACGTTCTGTTAACGTTGTTATAATTCCACGTTTTTGCCTTTGAGGGTGGTTTGAGAGTGCATACAGGTACCTGTCTGTGTGTGTGGGTTTTCGGTACACTGTATGGCTTAGTATTCCTCCAGATTTATTTATGCGTACATCTAAGAAGGTGATTTCTTGGTTTTTCTCCTTTTCCATGGTAAATTGTATGCTAGGATGTTGCGCGTTCAGGTGTCTTAGGAACTGGTTAAGCTTCTCTTCCCCATGACTCCCAACCACAAAGGTATCATCTACGTATCGAAGCCATACCGTTGGTTTGTGGTCAAAAGATTCGATAGATTTCCTCTCGAAAACCTCCATAAAGAAGTTGGCTATGACCGGGCTGGGGTAGAAATCGCCGTTCCACAGGAAGTAACTACCAGGGAGATATGTCCGGAAAAGCTGAACTATCTCGTTGGGGAAGGTACCTAATATCAAGTTGAGAGATTTCGTCAATGGCACTTTTGTGAATAAAGACACGACATCAAAGCTGACCAGGATATGATATCCTTAGGTTGGAGAATAATATCCCTAATTTTCTGGACGAAGTGAGTGGAGTCCTTGACGTAAGAGCTAGTTTTTCATTGCGGTTGAAGAAGCGATGCAAGATGTTTCGCTAGGTTGTACGTTGATGCTCCAGCTGCACTCACTATGGGTCTTAGCGGGACTTCAGGTTTGTGAATTTCGGGTAGGCTGGAGAGTCGTGGTGGAACGGCTTCCGTCTTTATGATGCCTTTCTTAACCGTGTCTGTTAGGTTAGATGACCTTATCAGTTTGTTGGTATTCCGGAGTATGGCTTGGAAGGGATCCTTCTTTGGCTTTCGATAGGTAGATGGATCCAGGAGTTCCTGAATTTTCCGGTTGTACTCTTCAGTTCTTAACAGGACAGTTGCGTTGCGCTTATCCGCAGGTGGGATGATCATATCTTCCGCTAAACTCAGGTTCTTAATTGCCATTAGTTCCTACTTACTGGTTGGTGATCGATCCTTTCGTAGAATGTTAGCCGGCTCAATTCGCATCTCTTCTGCTTCCACATCAGGTAGTGCTCTAATGGCTGCTACTTCAGTGCTGGCTATAATCTCCTCGGTTGGCAGGTGTTGTGGAGTGAATCTGAAATTACAGCCTTTTGCCAAGACGGCTGTTTCCTCTTCAGTAGGGACTCGTTTCGTGAGATTGATGAACAGTCTGGATTTGTTAGGCGCTGGGGAATTTCGGATTTGTTTCTTACAGAACTTCTCGTATTTTCGAATCTGGGCTTTTATACTCCGATTTAGCTCATTATCCATGCTTGAGTATGAGATGGTGTCAATTTTGTTCGAATTATTTGCATATACGTGGTTGCTGAGCATCAGATGTAGGTGAAGTAGTTGTCTATCTACTTCAGCCAGATCCTTCCTTTTTCAGTTCTGGAGTAGATGCGATGTGCTTGGGGTGTCTTAAAAGAGGGCTTTATCTGTAGGAGCGCCAGTACGATGTTAGTGTCCCGGCAGCGAAAGAGAAACGTTAGATTCGCCAATAAGTGTGCCTTGCGTCGTCTAACCTTGTCTAGTCGATGGTACTGTTTAGTGATCTTCTTCCCGTAAAGGTATCTGATGAAGTTTGTGAGGCTTTCGCGGTCCAGGTTTATTGATGACTTATGGCCCCGTGAAGGGAATCACGCAATACTATTTAGTGAGGTCAAGCTTCTTGCACCGATTTCCGGATACCACAATCGTCTAGTAAGTGAAGGTATAGAAATCCACAAACATACGGAGAACTTCAACAGGAGAGAAGAAACGCTAAAACTTAACCAAATTTGGAACCCGATCCTCAAAAACGCAAGAAAGATCCCATTGAGTACAGAGAAAGTTCAGATTAGCCACA